TGGGAACAAATGTAAGAAGAAAGGCCTCAAGTAAATAATTACAATTGACACATTAATTTTGTAAACCATTACTTCTCATGTCTGAAAGAGATAAAGATAGACTGGGTGAGATATGCTATACTTAATATCTAACCAAAAGCCAAGATGTGGTTCATAAAAGTACTACTAATTCCTAGATTTCTCAGTAAACCCATTAGAAGAAGGAAAGCCAAGCCCGATGTATTCACCTGTTCAGTCAAAATTAACCTAGGATGAACAATCCACTTCCATGTGTGAGAAATAAAATGGAACTCTGACTGCAGTATCTTGTAAACCCAAAGGTACATCCAAACCCTAAGGAAGAGGAGGAGAAGCTGATTTTGCAGAATAATGCAGTGTCTCTTTCTTTTCCCCATCTACTGAGTGCTGACTCTGTCCTGCAGCTGTATGTGTTCCCATGAAGTATCAGATTTATTGTTAGCACAAGCTCAACAGTTGAGGTACTACTATTACACTCACTTATGATAGGGAAATTAAGAGGCTCAGAGAGTTTAGATTAATAATATAGATATTTTAATAAATCCATCATTAAATCTCAGCTATTTACTAAATTTTCATTCTTGGGATTAAGGTTGGAAGGAACTATTAATGTTAATACATTTTTCTTTTATTTACTCAGTTACTATAAATATGTAGAAATAAGAAATGTAAACTGAAAGAAAAAACTTCTGCCAGGCCATAAAGTAAACAAAATAGTGAAATTTTCTTCCTAATACATGTTTATAGTAAGTTATATCAAAAGGAATGAGAAAAATGGCACAACGTATTACAAGACACCAAGAAGAGGATCTAATAGACCTGAAAAATAAGAAATTCATCTAAAAGAAAGGAAAAATAAAATCCAAATCTCAGTCGGTAGAGCACATGACTCTTGATCTCAGGGTTATCAGTTTGAGCCTCAGGTTGTGCATGGAACCTACTTAAAAAACAAAAGAAAGTAAAACCATTGGAGATGGGCACATTCATATACCAAAGTAATGGATTCATTTTTGACTCTGTGTTTTTGTTTCATTTTGCCTTTGTCTTTTATTCATGGTATAATTGATATACCCTCTAGCCCCCAAATTATAAGGGACATTCCAAATAAACTATTTGGTGCTTCTGAGCCAAATAAAAGGTCATATTTCTCCCCTTCATTTCAGGCACATAGTCACACTTGTTTGACTTGATATTTTTCTATTCCAGCTTCCAGAAGGTAACTCTCTCCTCTGTGCTTGACAATTTGGTCAATTTACTGTAATGAGAAACCTGGACAACAATGTAGAATGACTTCTAGTATATATTAACATGAATAATTAAGAAGACAATCTGCCACCTCCCTATCAAAATCGTAAGATTTTAGGGTATCCCACACAAGATTCATGATTTATAACCTTCAAATTTATGTCCTAGACTCCTTAAAACAGTGCTGTCTCAAGAACGTGATATGGACCTTCACACTGAAAGACTACTTTTTCCCCAAACAAAATCACATTTATCAGTATTTCTAATTTTGCTGGTTCCTTAATCACTTGCCTTCTTAAATCCTTTCCCCAGCCCAAACAGATCATCTAATGAAGGCCCACATAAATTGGTGAATAAGAACATAGACTAGAGATAACCTCAAACCTGGGCTTACTCATGTATACCATATATTCATTCCATCTACAGCTTTTTTCTTTTTTAAATTTATTTATTTATTTGAGAGAGAGGGAGAGAGAGAGAGAAAGAGAGGGAGGACGAGCAGGGGGAGCAGCAGAGGGAGAAGGAGAAGCAGCCTCCCCTCTGAGTAGGAAGTCCAATGTGGGGCTCCATCCCAGGACCCTGGGATCATGACCTGAGCGGAAGGCAGGTGCTTAACCAACTGAGCCACCCAGGTGCCCTGACCTACAGCTTTTTCATCTGGAAAATACGGAAAGCAAATTGAATCTTAGAGCATTATTTTGCATATTAAATGATTTAATATGTAGTAAGCCCTCAGCATTATACCTGCCATACAGTAAACCTTCAAATGTGATACAACAATGACAAGGACGGTGTTGAAGGAGAAAAGAAGAAGCTATTTTTCTCCAATTATTTCTTAGGAATTTATGGTCCAAATTAAAGTCTGTCCAAGTCTTCCTCTCACCTTGAGGATATTTACAATATTGCAAGGCTATATAAAGTCAACAAAATTCAGGACAGATACCATACTGGACACATTAAGTCCAATCTGGGGTGTTTGTTTATTCCTTAATGTAATATCAAGAGCAAATTGGTAGAGGAGTGAAAAAATTATTTTTATGAGGCAGAATGTGGTTCCACTGAAAGAGCATGACACTGGCAGTCAGGTGGCTGGGGTTCTAGCCCTGTTCCTTCCATTAATCTGAATAATCAGAGCAAGTCATTTCCCTCTTCTAGGCCACATACTCTCTCCATCCCCCCAAAAGAAGCTGACACTATAAGATCTCTAAGAACCCTCAAGAATTAACATTCTACCTTTTTGTTAGGGAAAGGAAAAAAGGGTGTGGCATGAACACTAATGTAACATATAGATGGCACTTCTAATGTTCGGCCTTTTAAGTGTACAGTGGCCAGAGTCCAAGGAAAAGCTAAGTATCCCAGTTACTCTGTTTGCCATCCTCTTGTCCTCCATTCTTCCCATCTTGTTTTTACCATTTTGTGGCTTATGACCCCATCCCAACCTCTCAATATAAAGCTAGTCTATATCACTAAGAAATAAAAGTTGCCGCACTGAAATTTAATAACGTAAATATTTATATCCACTCAAAAAGAAATCCAAGCTTACTATTCTCTTATATGATTACTTCAAAGGAAGGGAGGCAAAAGCAGAACAGGAACAAAGAGAAATAGATGGCAAAGCCTTGTTTTTCTGGTTCAAGGAGAACAAAAGAAATTTTAAATGCATAGAATCCCAAACCAAATTGAAAATGACACAAAGCTAAACAGAACTAGTTAGCGATGGAGGTGAACAGATTATAGGAGAAAGTGATCTCTCCAAGTCAAGGACATTCATATTTGAGAGGTTAAGTATGTATATATAAGTATTTACAAATAGGAGAACATGAAAGATCACTAAAATGAGATAATATATTATTAAACCATAAATGGTACTTGCTAATTTTTATTAAATAAGTCTTAATAAAAAAAGATCACAAGTTAATCAGAGGGCTAGTATAGTGCTATTTATTATATTCTACTTCAACACTGATTAGTTCAAGGACGGATACACGTCTCAGCAGATCAATGAAAATCACTTCAGAATTTCTGGTAAAATACTGAAAAAGAAAGCCTTCTTTTTATTGGACTTGTAGCTGTGAATTACCACATGGAAAAGACCTGACAACCTTTTCAGACCAATATGCCTGAAGCATGAAATCTCCCTGTGGCTTTCAATAACAAGCACTATTAAATTCTTGTTTGTGCTTAAGCCAGAGTATTACTGACTTCCCTGAGTTATAAAAGTTGTCAACCTTTATATATGCTTGGCTTTCTGACTGATCAAATGAGTTGTAAAGATGATTATTTAATATAATCCTTGTTTTAAAAAAATGACAAGATACAAAGTAATAAATGTAACAACAGGCTGATCCATAGCACTGTGTAACAAAAAAAGTATTCTTGGTCATCCTGATATGTATTATAATACTCTAATACAAGAATGTGAAAGAGAAAAGACAGTTGCTAAAAGATAGCTGGAAAGGATTTTATTTTATTTTATTTTATTTTATTTTATTTTATTTTATTTTATTTTATTTTATTAAGATTTATATATTTGAGAGAGAGATAAATGAGTGGAGAAGAGGGAGAGAATATCCAAGCAGACTCCTGCTGAGCATGGAGTCCTATGTGGGACTTGATCTCATGACCCATAAGATCAGGACCTGAGACAAAATCAAGAGTTGGGCACTTAACCAACTGAGCCACCCAGGCACCCCTATTTTATTTTTAAGATTTAAAAATTTTAAGTAATCTCTACACCTAACCTGGGGCTCAAACTCACAACACTGAGATCAAGAGTCAGATGCTCCATCAACTGAGACACCCAGGTGCCAGCTGAGAAGTATTTTAAAGATAATAAATGAGATCAGACTTAAAAAGTCTTCCAGAGAAATGTGCAAGAGTTGACAACATACTAGTTCAGTATTCTACCTAGACTCTTGTTCTATTTTGCATGCTAACATTTGCCAGAGTAACCTGTGAGCCATTCCAAGGATCCCCCTGGAGGGAAAACTATTAATAGATTTGGAATAGACACCATGTTCACCCACTTCTTACCCACCTCCTGATGGAGAGACCACTCAGGAAGAAACCGTGAAAAAGAACACAGTCTCACAGGAAAGGAAACTTTTCTAGGTATATGAAATATTTTTAAGATCTAACAATTTGTTAAGAAACAAGAGTTTCCAGTCACTTGCTTGTAGTAGCAACTTTCAAACTCCATCTTGCAACTCATTAGGGGAAACCTACATCAATTTAGTGAGACTAGGATTATGGTAAAAATAAAAGAGAATGAAGAATATATCAAACCTAGTAAGGTTAGTGTTGTTTATAAAATGTTTGTTTCAGGGGTGTGCATGTGTGTGTGTGTGTGTGTGTGTGTGTGTGCATGTAAGTCATGTGTGCACCGGGAGAAGATATAAGATGTATTTCTTACTAGGGGTCGCAGTCACAAAAGTCTGAAAGCTACTGGCTTTCAGATACAGCAAAAGATACAACAAAAGAAAGGCCTAATACAGAACCCTCCAAGTAAGATTAATAATAAGTCTTCTATTGAACTGTGAGAAGTTCTATGGGGAGGGATCAGTAGACCTTGTAAGAACGGACTCATCTTTCAGAACAATTTCTGAGACCTAAAGGACACCTGGAGAAAAAGAAAACATCATGAAAATACTAATGATCAAATTTATATATCTTAATGTAAAATACTTTCAATTGGCACATTCTTTACCCACAGCCTCAGATGTCAGTGCAGGCCTTACCTGAAAGTGTCTTTTGGTAAGAAACACATTGATGTCTCCACAAAGAAATGGCAGATCTCTCTCGATTCTGCAGGCCATTTAGTCTTTCTGCTAGCCCGCCTCTGTTTAATGAATTATAATGTATTAAGTTAGTTAAAAGAAACGTTTCAAAATAGTTGGAACATTTATATTTTATACTCTCCAACCAGAGACAAATACATAAAACATACAAATTCTAACTTATTTGGCATTACATTGTCTTCCTAGAGGCCCAATCCTCCTAGATCAGTAATCTTTTTAAAGATTTCTTGGAAGCTCAGTTTCTTGATTCTTAGAAATACAAGCTACTCTCAGATCAATTTGATTTCCTTTCTATTCTTTCCTAGTTTATTTATCCCATAAACATATACGGATCACTTCTTTCCTGTTCTATCTAGCAAAGTGCTAGATGCCAGTAATGCAAAGAAGGCAATGAGCCATGCCATAGGGGAGCCTCACAATCTGACAAAACATATAAATTAAAGTGTGGTCAGAATTATAGTCAAGAATAAAACCTGCAAATTGCTGATAGGCAGAACATTAAATAAGAAAATTTGGGTATGGGCTTATTATTTGGACCACAGAGACAAATGAGTTTTAATCACAAGCACACAGCAAGGATACCAACATTATAAAAATAAAAAAAACTTCCATGTATGGCAAGAAGATGATTGATAACAATGGACATACTTCATAAAAACCCTTCCCCATCAATGAATAATATATATAATACTATTATATATTACTACACTAACCTATCAATTATATTATTATAATATTTATATATTATATATAATATACATTATATATTATAATTACATATTGTTACATAATTACATTGTTATGTATTATATGATATAAGTATATTTTATATTAACAATACAATGCTTATATTAACATATATTAAATCATATATAATATGTATATTCATTTATGTATATTATAAATGCATATGAACATATATATACAAATATTTTTGATTCAGGAAGCTACCTAGGGTCAGAGAAGTCAGCAGCTCCTAACACATCTGCGCTCTCAAGAAAAGTCAGGATCAGTTGTTAACCACCATTATGACCACATGCTACATAATTTATCAATATATTATCTCACACAATTATGTACCAGCTCACTGATCGTTTCAGTACACAGATAATGTACTGAAGACAGATAAAAGAGATCATTTTGTAGATAGAATAAGATCATTTTATTCTAATAATATACCTTTATTAAGAAAGAACAAATATCAATAATTACCAAATAGATGATAAAAACCAGAGCTTAGAGGGAGGTTAAGGAAATTCTCCAATATTACATAACTAGCCAGATGATGAAATAAGTTGTTGAAACCAGAAAAGACTTACCATAGTGCCCAGCATTTAAACCTTCAAGAAATAGTCATTGGTGTTACTGATTTTGTTATGATTTTTACTTGCACCTTATGTTCTTTCCACTGAAATGAAAGTTCTTATTTTTATACATATTATGTATATTATCATACTACCTACTTTGTTTTTCTATAGACACTTGTTTTTCAATAGACACTTGTTTTTCAATGGCACTATTATTTCTGAATGTGTAGCATATAAATATATATATAATTCTCATAATCACAAATATGCCAAAGAACCTCTACTTTATAAAAATGTCTATCTCTACTTAATATATGTATAAGCTCCGCTTCATAGCTTTCTGTTTACAGAAAGTAACTTTTATACTCCTTCTCTAAACAACACTATAAAAGTAGGTACTATTGTCATCCTCATTTTACACATGATAAACTGAGGCACTGAGAAATTAAACACCTATGCAAGGTGAGACATGTGATAAGTGGCACACCTGGATGCACACCCAGGCAGTCTGGCTCCAGAGTTCATAAGCTTAGCTTCAATGATATATCAACTGCCTCTTAGAGAGTACTACTTAAAAAGAAACTCATAATAAATATAGAAAAAAAGCAAAACACTGTATTCTTTGTACAATGATCTAGACAGTTATTTGTCAAATGTTGGTTTTTCAATCCTATGACTGTGAAGAAAAGAAAAAATGCAATCTGAAAGCAGTATACGGTTAAGGCCACATCCCCAAGTAAACTGTAGAATCTCACAAGTAAACTGTAGGAATTATAAGATGAAAAGTAAAAAGATAGAGTAAACATAAATGCAGAACAGTTCTCTGAATGTGGGAATATCTAGAGCCATAAGATAGAATCAGCATTTGAGCTTGCTTTTAGTTATTAGGAGCTGTACTGGTGCTTCACAGAATATCTCTGTTCCAATCTGCCCAAAGAAATTCTCATCATATGCAACAAAACTTTAGGAATGGAAACATCATGACTTCTATTCCACAATCATAATTCTAGTAAAAACCTGTACCACATTATTTTTTTTAAAAGATTTTATTTATTAATTTGAGAGAGAGAGAGTGCAAGCGAGAGAGCACAAGCAGGGGGAGCAGCAGAGAGAGAGGGAGAAGCCAACTCCCCAATGAACAGGGAGCCTGACCTGGGGCTCGGTCTCAGGAAAGGCAACTGCTTAACTGGCTGAGCCACTCAGGCACCCCCATACCACATTATTTAAAAAAAAAAAAAAAGTCACGCAGGCAGTTCAATAAGGCTCTGTTTGTATACATACAAATTAACTTTTTTTTTTTTAAGTTCCACTGAAGTATAATTGACAGATTTACTAAGATATTTAAAGTGTATATTGTGGTGATTTGATATACATTGTGAAAGGATTCCTCCCATCTAGTTAATTAACAAATCCATTACCACACATATTTAACTTTTGTGTGTGTATGAGAATATTAAAGCTCTACTCTCTTAGCAAATTTCAATTGTACAATACAATGTTAACAACATTAGTCACTGTGTTTTACTTTTCCTTTTTACACTGTCAGATTTTTTTTTTTGTTCTTCAATCTGAAAACTATTATAGTTTATCAAAGCTCAAAGGTAGTAGCTATTACTGTATTTTACTTTAAATCCTCAGAACTTATTCATCTTTTACTTTAAATCCTCAGAACTTATTCGTTTTATACCTGGTACCCTTTTATCACATTCTCCATATATACACAACTGGCACTGGCAACCACTTTTTTACTCTCTGTTTCTATGAGTTTGACTTCTTTTTTGTTTTTAGATTCCACTTAATAAGTGATACCATGCAAGTACTTATCTTTCTCTGTCTGGCTTATTTCACTTTGCATAATGCCCTGAAGGTCCACCTATGTTGTCACAAATGGCAGGACTCCCAGCTTTCTCATGACTGTATAATATTCGTGTGTGCGTGTGTGTGCGCACGCGTGCACATCACATCTTCTTACCCATTTATCCACTGGCTGAGATTAGGTTGTTTCCACATATTAACTATACTGAATAATGCTATGATAAACATGGAAGTGCAAATATCTCTTTGATATCCTGTTTTCATTTCTTATGGATTTACTACTGAACAGTGAACTGGTGGATTGTAAGATAGTTCTATATTTAATTTTTTTCTTAAGAAATTGTCATACCATTTTCCATAGTGGCTGTACCAATTTACATTCCCACCAACAGTGCACATGGTTTCTCTTATCTTCACATCCCCACCAGTACTTGTTATTTTCTTTTTTTTCCCCTAAAGATTTATTTATTTATTTTACAGAGAGAGAGAGTGTGTGTGCACATGCACACAAGCAGTGGGAGGGACAGAGGGAGAAGAGCAGACTCCCAGTGAGCACAGAGCCCAAGACAGGGCTTGATCTCATGACCCTGAGATCATGACCTGAACTGAAATCAAGAGTCAGTTGCTAAATAGACTGAGACACCCAGGCTCCCACATCTCTTGTCTTTTGATGATAACCATTCTAACAGGTATGACTGAGATCTCTGAGTTTTGTCTTACATTACCCTGATGATTAGTCATGTAGAGCACCTTTCTCATGTACCTATTGGCCATTTGTATGTCTTCTTTGGATAAGTATCTATTCAGTTACTCTGCCCTTTTAAAATTGGATTGTTTGTTTTCTTTGCCGAGTTGTAGGTGTTCATTATGGATTTTGGATATCAATCTTTTAATAGATGTATAATTTGCAAATATTTCCTCCCTTTCAGAAGAATGCCTTTTTCATTGTGTTAATGGTTTTCTTTTTTGGTGTAGAAGCTTTTCAGTTTGGTGTAGTCCCACTTGTTTATTTTTGCTTTGATTTCTTTTGCTTTTGGCATCAAATCCAAAAAATCATTGCCAAGATCTATGTCAAGGAACTTACCCCCAAGTCGTGATCTAAGAGTTTTATGGTTTTGGGTCTTAAATTCAAATCTTTAATACATTTTGAGTCCATTTTTGTGTATTGTATAAGATCATAGTCTAGTTTCATTCTTTTCATGTGGCTGTCCAGTTTTCCCAACACCATTTATTGAAGAGACTGTCCTTTCCCCATTGTATATTCTTGGCTCCTTTGTCACAAAGAAATTGACTATATATGCATGGGTTTATTTCTAGGCTTTCCATTACGTTCCATTGAAATATATGTCTATTTTTATACCAGTACCATACTGTTTTGATTGCTACTGCTTTGTGATATAGATTGAAATAAGGAAATGTGATGCCTCCAGCTTTGTTCTTCTTTTTCCAGATGGTTTTGGCTCTTTAAAGTCTTTTGTGGACCCATGCAAATTTTAAGATTGTTCTATTCCTGTGAAAAATGCAATTGGAATGTTAATAGGGGTGGCACCAAACCTGTAGATTGCTTTCAGCAGTATTAACATACTAACAATATTAATTCTCCCAATCTATGAACACATTTATTTTTTACTTCCTTCATTTCTTTCATCAGTGTCTTATACTTTTGGGTGTACAGTACTTTTACCTCTTGAGTGAAATTTCTTCCTATATATATGAGCGAGGGGAGGGGCAGAGGGAGAAGAGGAAGGAGAAGCCAACTCCCTGCTGAGCAGTGAGCGTGACCCAAGGTTCAATCCCAGGACCTTGAGATCATGACCTGAGCTTGTCAGATGCTTCACCAACTGAGCCACGTGGGTGCCCCTCTTCCTAGGTATTTTAATATTTTGATGCAATTATAAATGGGATTATTTTCTTGATTTCTCTCTTGGATAGTGTATAGAAATACAACTGATTTCTGTGTATTGATTTTGTATCCTGAAACCACTGAATTCATTTACTAGTTCTAACAGTTTATTGCTGGAGTCTTTAGGGTTTTCTACATATAATATCATGTCATCTGTAAATAGAGACAGTTTTATTTTTTCCTCCGCAATTTAAATGCCTTTTATTTCTTTTTCTTGCCTAACTGCTTTGGCTAGGACTTCTAGTAATCTGTTGAATAAAAGTGACAAGAGTGGGCATCATTGTCTTGTTCCTCATCTTAGGAGTATCACGTTAGTTGTAGGCTTATTACATGCGTCTTTTTATGTTGAGGTACTTTCTATACTCAAATCATTGGCATTTTTTCTTATGAATTGATGTTGACATTTGTCAAAAGCATTTTCTGCATCTATTGAGATACTCATATGATTTTTCTCCTTCATTTTGTTAATGTGGTATATATATCATGTTGATTGATTTGTGTATGTTGAACCATCCTTGCATCCTTGGAATCAATCCCAATTGATCATGGTGTATGAACCTTTTTTCAATTTGGTTTACTAAAACTTTGTTGGGGATTTTTGTGTCGATGTTGAACAGAGATATCAGTCTGTAATTTTCTTATGGTGTCTTTCTCTGATGTTAGTATCAGCATAATGCTGGCTTCGTAAAATGACTTTGGAAACATTCCCTCCTCTTTTATTTTTTAAAAGACTTTGAGAAGGATTAGGTAGAATTTGCCAGTGAAGGCATTTGTTTCTGAACTTTTCTTTGTTGGGAGGTTTTTGATTACTGATTCAATATCCTTACAAGTAATTGATCTGTTCAGATTTTCTATTTCTTCCTGCTTCAGTCTTGGTAGGCTGTATGTTTCTGGGATTTATCTATTTCTCTTAGGTTGTCCAATTTGTCAGTGTATAATTGTTCACAGTAGTTTCTCATGACCCTTTGTATTTCTGTGGTATCAGTTGTAATGCCTCCTCTTTGCATATCTAATTTTATTCATTTGAGTCTTTTTTCATTTCTTGGTATGTCTAGATAAAGATTTCTCTATTTTTTAATCTTTTCCAAAAATCATCTCTTAGTTGCATTGATAGTTTCTATTGTGATTTTAGTCTCTATATCATACACTTCCACCATGATTTTGATTATTTCCTTCCTTCTACTAACTTTGGGCTTAATTTGTTTTTCTTTTTATGATTCTTTGAGGTATAAAGTTACATTGTTTACTTCAGGTCTTTTTTTTTCTCTTACTAAAGGCATTTAAAAATTTTTTTTAATTTAAATTCAGTTAGCCAACTTAAAGCACATCATTAGTTTCAGATGTAGTGTTCAATAATTCATCAGTTGTGTATAACACTTAGTGCTCATCACATCACGTGCCCTCCTTAATACCCACCACCCAATTACCCCATTCCCTCCAGCAACCCTCCCAGCAACCCTCAGTTTGTTTCCTATAGTTAAGAGTCTCTCATGGTTTGTCTCCCTCTCTGATGACTTCCCATTCCCCCCCTTCCTCTATTACCTCTGTGCTGTTTCTTATATTCTACATATGAGTAAAACCATATGATAATTATCTTTCTCTGATTGACTTATTTTGCTCAGCATTATACCCTCCACTTCCATCCATGTCGATGTAAATGATAAGTATTCATTCATTCTGATGGCTGAGTAATATTCCATTGTACATGTATACCACATCTTCTCTTTATCCATTCATCTGTCAATGGACATCTTGGCTCTTTCCACAGTTTGGCTATTGTGGACATTGTTGCTATGAACACTGGGGTGCAGGTGCCCCTTTGGATCACTACATTTCTATCTTTGGGGTAAATACCCAGTAGGGAAATTGCTGGGTCATAGGGTAGCTCTATTTTTAATTTTGTGAGAAACCTCCATACTGTTTTCCCGAGTGACTGCACCAGTTTGCATTCCCACCAATAGTGTAAGAGGGTTCCTCTTTCTCTACCTCCTCGCCAACATTTGTTGTTTCCTGTCTTGTTAATTTTAGCCATTCTGACTGGTGTAAGGTGGTATTTCATTGTGGTTTTGATTTGTATTTCCCTGCTGCTGAGTGATATGGAGCATTTTCTCATGTGTCTGTTGGTCATTTGTATGTTTTCTTTGGAAAAATGTCTGTTCATGTCTTCTGACCATTTCCTGACTGGATAATTTGTTTTGGGGGTTTTGAGTTTGAGAAGTTCTTTATGGATCTTGGATACTAGCCCTTTATCTGATATGTCATTTGCAAATATCTTCTCCCATTACTGTAGGCATTTATCTCTATGAACTTCCCTCTTAAAACTGCTTTTGTTGCATCCAGTTAGTTCTGGTATATTGTATTTCCATTTCTTTGGAATTGAGATTTTTTAAATTTCTCTTGTGATTTCTTTGACCCACTGGTTGTTCAGGAGCATGTTTTTTAATCTCCATGTATTTGTGAATTTCCAGTTTTCTTCCTATAATTGATTTCTAGTTTCAAACCATTGTGGTCAGAAAAGATGGCTGATACGATTTCAATCTTCTTATGCTATTAAGACTTTGATCTAGCCTGAAAAATGTTCCAGGTGCTCTTGAGAAGAATGTGTACTTTGCTGTTCTTAGATGTAATGTCCTATAAATGTCTGTTAAGTCCATCTGATGTAATGTCTCTAAGTCAAATGTTTCCTTAATGATTTTATCTGGATGATCTACCTATTGTTGAAAGTCGGGTGCTGTAGTCCCCTAATATTATTGTATTTCTGCCTTCTTTCATACCTGTTAAATCTGCTTCATATATTTAGGTGCTCCAATGTTAGGTACATAAGCGTTTACAATTGTTCTATCCTCTTGATGAATTGATACCCATGTTTTTATTAGAGTTTGTGGCTCAAAGTCTGTTCTGTCTGAGGTAACTACAGCAAACCCTTTGGGTTCCAATTTTCACACAATATGGTTTTCTGTTCTTTCATTTTCAGTCTATGTGCTTCTTTAAGGAATGAATGAGTTTCTTAAGGCAGGATATAGTTGGGTCTTATTCTTTTAATCATTCAAGCCACTCTATGTCCTTTGATTGGAGAATTTAATCCCTTTATATTTATAAGTAATTGCTGAAAGATAAGGACTTACTATTGCCATTTTCTTGTTTTTTGCCTTTTTGTAATACATTTGTCCCTTTCTTCGTCTCTTCCATATTAATTTGATGACTTCCTATAATAGTCTGTATTGATTCCTTTCCCTTTATCTATTACAGTTTTTTTAATAAGATTTTATTTATTTGAGAGAGAGAGAGCACAGAGGGAGGGTGAGAAGGAGAAGTAGACTCCGCGCTGAGCAGAGACCCCAATGTGGGGCTTGATCCTAGGACCCTGAAGTCATGACCCGAGCTGAAGGCAGACACTTAACCAACTGAGCCACCCAGGCACTGCCTATTACAGGATTTTACTTCACACTTACTATGAGATTTAAGACATCTTATATTTATAACGTCTATTTTAACCTATAACAACTTAAATTCAAATGCAGACTAGAGCTCTATATATTTATTCTCCCGTTACAATGTTTTTGATGTCACAAGTTACATCTTTTTATCTTGTTTATCCACTAACAAATTTTTTGTATAGATTTTTTTAATACTTTCGCTTTTTAATCTTCATACTATAAGTGATTTACCCACCACCATTACATCGTTAGAATATTCTGAAATTAACTACATATTTACATTTACCGATGAAATTATACTTTCATGTTTTCCTGTTACTCATTAGTGTCCTTTTGCTTCAGCTTGAACAAGTTCCCTTTAACATTTCTTGCAACACTAGACTAGTGTTGATGAACTCCTTTAGCTTTTGCAGTTGTGTAAAACTCTTAACTTCAACTTTGCTGGGTAGTGTATTTTTGGTTGGCAGCTTTTTTTCTTTTAGCACATTGAATATATCACGCCACTCCCTACCTGCCTGCCAAGTTTCTGCTAAAAAATCCACTGACTAAAAATCCATGGGGGTTACCTTATACATAACAAGGTAAATTTTCTCTTCCTGCTTTAAAAATTCTCTTCTTGGGATCCCTGGATAGCTCAGCTGGTTAAGCGTCTGCCTTTGGCTCAGGTCATGATCCCAAGGTCCTGGAATCAAGTCCCACATTTGGCTCCTTGCTCAGCAGGGGGGCCTGCTTCTCCCTCTGCCTGTGCTCTAATAAATAAAATCTTTAAAAAAAATAAAATAAAAATTCTCTTCTTTAACTTTTCATAATTTAATTATGTTTCTTGGTGTGGGTCTCTTGAATTCATCTTATTTATAACTCTGTGGACTTCTTGGAACTAGATGCCCATTTCTTTCCCCAGATTAGGGAAATTTCTAGCCATTATTTCTTCAATAAGCTTTCTGCTCCTTTCTGTCTCTCTTTTTCTGGGACAACTATATTGCAAATATTCATCCACTTGATGGTATCCTTTAAGTCCCTTAAGGTATCTCCAGTCTTTTCCATTTTTTTTTTCTCTTTTTGTTCCTGTGTTTGGATGAATTCCACTGCCCAATCTTTGAGTTCACTGATCTTTTCTTCCAGCTGATCTAGTCTTTTGAATTTTTCTGTAGTTACTGTATTCTTTTCAGGTCTGTGGTTTCTGTTTGGTACATTCTTTTATTTCTATCTCCTAAAATTCTCACTTTGTTCATGCATTATTCTCCTGACCATGCTAAACATCTTTATGACTATTATTTTGCACTCTTTGTCAGACAAATCACTTATCTCCATTTCATTAAGGTCTGTTTCTGGAGTTTTTCCTTGTTCTTTTTTTGGAACATGTTCCTGTTTCTTCATTATCCTTGATTCTCTGTTTTGGTTTCTATGTATTAGGTAAAACAGCCACTCTTCCAGTCTTTATAAAGTGGTCTTGTGTAGGAGATGGACCTTATTGTTCAGCCTGCCTTGAGCTCTTAGTTATCTCTTTGTGGAAGTCAAAACTGCCTTTTTTTCCTTAGTAGCTCCCAGTAGTTGTGGGTGCCAATACCTGTCAGTGTGCCAAAGGGTAGGATCTCAGTCAGCACTAGATATAAGCTGACTGAAAGCTGAACCCTTAGTCAGCAGCTTTTAAAGTATGCAAGCAGACTTCTTTCAGGGTAAGACTAGGAGCTCAGCATTTTCCTCTGCTCATCTCTGCTCTGAGTCCTCAAGGGATAGCCAGGTAAGAACTGCTTCCTTGTTTGCTACAGACCCATGGGACCCACAAACTACAAGTCCCCCTAGTCATCAGAGCCAGGAGATCAAGAGATGTACCCTCTGGGAGACACTGAAGATCTACAGGGGGCACGGAGATGTCATCTGCTGACCTCCCTGATCTCTAGGGAGGATGACAGTCAGTACCTACGTGTGTGCTAAATTAGAAGCCTGATCCTCAGGCAGCAGCAGCTTTTAAAGTACACAAATAGGCAGCTTTCAGGAAAAGACTAGAAGATGGGTGTTATATACTCCCTCTGTGCTGAGCCCTGGAGGGAAAACCACAACAGGTCCAAGCCAGGTGAAGAATAGTTTGCTATAGTCTTATGGGTCTTGTGGACACAAGCCCTGTTTCAGAACTAGGTATTTTGGGGGTTCATCTCTCCAGTGAAAGTCTTAAAAGTTGGGGTGCTAGACGCTGGGTTCAAACTCTTTGTTTCTCATGGAAAACTAGGGAGTTATGAGTTCCCTACCTAGTGTATGTCACTATGCTAGGGGTGGGATTTATGGCTAGAGTGTGTCTTATCCTTTCCTACCCCTTTCAATGTGGGTACTTTCTAACTCATCCAATGTATAAGAGTCCCTCAGTTTCTGGATTTTTTACAAGAGGAACTGCTTCATGTGTAGCTATAGATTGGGTGTCTTCATGGGGAAGGTGAATTCAAGAGGTTCTTATATTGCCATCTTGGATCAGAGCCTCCAAATTGACTATTTTCAATACAGTCACCAAAGTTATTTAGAGATAAAATTCAACACACCAACGGAGAAAAAAAATTCACTAAGCAAGTTAAGATATTCTAATTAACTTTTATATAAAAAAGTTGATTGGTAACCTACCTGAAAAGGTTCCTGGCATCAATTCAACAGTGCTAAACATTTTTTCAAAAACAATATGAAGTGAAAAAGAATAAAGATTCAAAACTCTTCCAACATTTCCAGAAAAAAAGCTCACTGAAATATTTTTAATATGCTATATAAGTAAAGAAAAAAATAATTTAAATACATGTAGTATAGTATTTTCAAGTTTTGCTTTCTGTTAGATATAATAGACATTGTGAAAAATAACCTGATGATAAGAATGGAGAAATATGGCTTTATTATTGAAAACATACTTAAATATAAGACCAATTTTGCATTGACTTTTATTAGTTATGACTTAAACACAATGAATCCATGAACCAAAAAGATAAAAATTAAAAAATAACAACAAAAAGAAAGCCCAAAGAGATTGAATAATATTTCTCTATGGGGCAAAGCCAAGGGAAAAGGCCAATGTCTTCCAACATTGAAATGCCAATAACTACTTAACTTGATCCTTACTAGTGAGCAATTATCAAGTTAAAAACAAAACAAGAGGAGGACCAAGATGGCAGAGTCTTTAGCTCCCAAGACCTAAATTCCGCCTGGTCACAGGAATTCAGCTAGATAGTTATCAAACCATTCAGAACACCTTCAAACTCAACAGAATATTGAAGAAAAGAATAGCAGCAATTTGGGGCACCTGGGTGGCTCAGTTGGTTAAGCATCTGCCCTCGGCTGGGGTCATAATCCCAGCATCCTAGGATGGAGCCCCGCATCAGGCTCCCTGCTCAGTGGGGAGCCTGCTTCTCCCTCTCCAGCTCCCTACCCCCGACACCGCTTGTGTTCCCTCTCTCACTCTCTCTCTCTCTCTCTCTCTGACAAATAAATAAATAAAAAAAATTAAAAAAAAAAAAAAAAAGAATAGCAGCAATTCTGTGAACAGAAAAGCGACCACTTTCTGGAAGGTAGGATGTGCAGAGAAGTGAATCCGAGGCGATATACGGGAAGATAGATGGAGGGGGAGAGCCTCCATCAGCAGGCTACCAGCAAGTGATGGAGCAGTGGAGCACAAAACTGCAAATTTAAGAAGTCTGCTCTGTTGAGAGATGTTGCTCCAGTGGCTAAGCGGGCAGTGGAACCCTTGCTGGGACAGTGTGGTCTCAGGATCCTCAGGGTCACAGAAAGATTGGGGTGCCTGAGTGTGGCAGAGCTCCCAAGTATGGGAGTGGGAAAGCCAGCTGCAAAGATGGAGCCAAGGAGTGGGCTCTCAGCTCCGGGTTGCCATAAACCGTGATCCACGGCACAGTTGAATCACTACTCTTTGAGCAGGGACCCAACAAGCAGCAGATCCGGGGACATGTCCCCCTGCTTCCCCACAAGAGGCACGGGAGCACACTGCAGGAGTCTGCTGGAATTGGAGACTCCAAACGGGGTCATATGCCAGAGAGAGAAATGCTTGGTCATAGACCGGGTGAGCATGGAGTGCGGCCAGAGAGCAGGGAGACAGGAGTGATGGACAGCTGTTCTCTGAGGGCTCACTGAGGAGTGGCGCCCTGAGCTCTTGGCTCCTCCGGGACCAGGGATTGGGAGGCCACCATTTTTACTCTCCTCCTCCAAAGCTGTAAGGAAAGCTCTCAGGGAACAAAAGCTACTGAGAGCAAACCCGAGCAGATTACTCAGCCTGGCCCCTGGCAAGGGTGGTGTAATTCCGCCTCAGGCAAAGACATTTGAGAATCACTGCAACAGGCCCCTCCCCCAGAAGTTCAGCAAAGAACATCCAGCCAAGACCAAGATTACCGATTAATGAGAACAGCAAAACCCCAGCGCTGGCGGAATACAGCACATAGAATTCATGACTTTTTCCCCCCTAATTCTTTAGTCTTTCAAAGTTAATTTTTAAAATTTTCTTTATTTTTTTCTTTTTCTATTTTTTTAGTTGAATTTTTCTTCTTTCCTTTTTCAGCCAACATCGTATCAATTTCCTTTTTTAAAATCTTTTTTAATTTTCATTTTTACAGTCATTCTATCCCTTCATTGTATTTAACCTTATTTTTTGTATACATATAAGTTCTTTCTTTAAAACTTTGGGATATGGTTTCTTTTAACAGACCAAAATATATCCTAAATCTAGTGTATGACTTTGTCCTAGTCTCCCGCCTGATCACATTCTTTTTTTTTTTTTCATTTTTTTCAACCAACTTATCCTATCAATTCCTTTTTTAAAATCTTTTTTGGGCTCCTGGGTGGCTCAGTTGGTTAAGCAACTGCCTTTGACTTAGGTCATGATCCCAGAGTCCTGGGATCAAGTCCCACATCGGGCTCCCTGCTAAGCAGGGAGTCTGCTACTCCCTCTGACACTCTCCCCTCTCATGCTCTCTCTCTCTCTCAAATAAATAAATAAAATCTTAAAAAAATAGACAAAATAAAATCTTTTTTAATTTTCATCTTTATCATCATATTCCATCCCTTCATCATATTTACCCTTTGTGTGTGTGTATATATATGTTTTTCTTTCTTTAAAATTTTGGGAGGCAATTTCTTCTAAGAGACCAAAATACACCCAAAATCTAGTGTGTGGCTCTGTTCTATTCACCAGCCTGATCACATTCTTTTCTTTTTTTTCCTTTCTTTTTCCCCCCAGTTTCAGGTCTCTTCTGATTTGTTTAGTGTATATTTTTCTGAGGTCATTGTTACCCTTTTAGCATTTTGTTCTCTCATTCACCTATTCTTCTCTGGACAAAATGACAGGACGGAAAAACTAACCTCAAAAAAAAGAACAAGAGGCAGTACTGACTGCCAAGGACCTAATCAATATGGACATTAGTAAGATGTCGGAACTAGAGTTCAGAATGACAATTATAAAGATACTAGCTGGGCTTGAAAAAGCACAGAAGATACTAGAGAATCCTTTTCTGGAGAAATAAAAGAACTAAAAGTCTAACCATGTTGAAATAAAAAATGGAGGCTCTAACTGCTAGGATAAATGAGGCAGAAGAGAGAATTAGTGACATAGAAGACCAAATGATAGAGAATAAAGAAGCTGAGAAAAAAAGATAAACAACTACTGGATCACAAGGGGAGAATCTGAGAGATAAGTGATACCATAAGAAAAACAAGTATTAGAAATGTTCTGTACTCAGAAAACTACAGAATACTCATGACCAAAATGTGAGACAGGAATCCATCAAAATCCTTGAGGAGAACACAAGCAGCAACCTCTTCCACCTCAGCCACAGCAACTTCTTCCTAGAAACATCACCAAAGGTGAGGGAAGCAAGGGCAAAAATGAACTATTGGGACTTCATCAAGATAAAAAGCTTTTGCACAGCAAAGGAAACAGTCAACAAAACCAAAAGACAACCGAGAGAATGGGAGAAGATATTTGCAAATGACATATCAGATAAAGGGCTAGTATCCAAAATCTGTAAAGAACTTATCAAACTCAACACCCAGAGAATAAATAATCCACTCAAGAAATGGGCAGAAAACATGAACAGACATTTCTGCAAAGAAGACATCCAAATGGCCAACAGACACATGAAAATACAAATCAAAACCACAATGAGATACCACCTCACACCAGTCAGAATGGCTAAAATTAGTAAGTCAGGAAATGACAGATATTGGCAAGGATGCAGGGAAAGGAGAACCCTCTTACACTGTTGGTGCAGCCACTCTGGAAAACAGTATGGAGGTTCCTCAAAAAGTTGAAAATAGAGCTACCCTATGACCCAGCAATTGCACTACTGGGTATTTACCCCAAATATACAAATGTAGTGATCCAAAGGGGTATGTGAACCCCAATGTTTATAGCAGCAATGTCCACAATAGCCAAATTATGGAAAGAGCCTAGATGTCCATCAACAGATGAATGGATAAAGAAGATATGGTATACTTATACACACACACACACACACACACACACACACACACACACACACACTGGAATATTATGCAGCCATCAAAAAAATGAAATCTTGCCATTTGCAATGACATGGGTGGAACCAGAGGGTATTATGCTAAGCGAAATAATCAGAGAAAGACAAGTACCATATGATCTCACTGATATGAGGAATTTGAGAAACTGGACAGAGGATCATAGGGGAAGGGAGGGATAAATGAAACAAGAAGAAACCAGAGAGGGAGACAAACCATAGAGCCTCTTAA